TTAACAGTTCCTAGGTCCTTTGTTAGGACTCGAGCTGTTGAGCTACCAACCAGCCCCAGAGGCTGTGAATCTCACCAAAGATTAACCACGCAGTAATAATGATAATAATAATGTTAATAATAATGTTAATAATAATGTTAATAATAATAATAATAACAACAAAATGGATAGGCAAACTATTGTTTTAGGCAACCCTGTGTATGTGAAGCCATAACTCATGTCCCCAGTATAAAAACATTGGTGAAAAACTTGTTAGAAAGATAGCATTATATCTATTGGAAGATTAATCACAGATTTTTTTAAGAACCACTTGCTTCCTGCTAAACTTTTATGCCTACTAAGAATGCTCAGAGTTTCTGCTTTGTCTTTCTGCACCAATCCTTTTTTATGGTTTTGGGAACTAGGGTTTAAGAACAGCAAACAGATACCTCTCATACAGAAAGTTAAAGGTAATTTAAAGAAACCTGTTCAGCAGGGTTATGTTTTTCACTGATGCCAGGCCATAGAGAAGCTTCTCCTTTTCTTGAGCTAATGTTGCAGTTGTGTACTGATGAAACATATAATTCCAGGCTTCCTCGTCACCTGACTGCTGCATCCCATAACGGTACACCAGGAGGCGGATGTTTACATCTAGCCTAACATGAGAGAGAATGATACTGTTAGCGAAAGAGGCCTATCTTCCATGCCACTTTGCTCATGGACACCCTCTGCATCTGCACATAAATATGTATAGTCACCTTGTTCCATTCATCCAAGTCTCAAACTGTGAAGAGGCATTCGCCAAAGCCTGTGGGTCATTCATATTGCATGCGAATTCCAAAACAGTTGTACGAAGGAGGCTGGAGAAAAGGACGAAGGAAAACTAAGTTTTATTTGCTTGGAATATGCTGTAGTTTATGTATTAAACTACATATATGCAAACATATTAAACCTACACACATTCAACTTTCAAAGGGCAGTACTAAAGGACACATGGCAGTTCATTTCTGAAAAAGAGGGGTGGGGTCTGAAAGAGTGGAGTTTGAAACAGGAACTGTTGTAGGAGGGAGGGGAAACCCCATATGGTCTTTGTTCCTCTAGATTAGGGGTCAGCAACCCGCGGCTCTGGAGCTGCATGTGGCTCTTTCATCCTTCTCTGTGTCTCCCTGTCACCAGTTGGTAAAAGGAAAAAGGACGGCATTCTAAGAGGAGACTTAGAGGAATTGGACTTCTAGTCGGCAGGGGAAAATAGCAATAGCAATAGCAATAGCAGTAGACTTATATACCGCTTCATAGGCCTTTCAGGCCTCTCTAAGCGGTTTACAGAGAGTCAGCATANAGTCAACCCTGAGCCGGTGAGATTTGAACCGCTGAACTGCTGATCTAGCAGTAGCCTGCAGTGCTGCATTTAACCACTGCGCCACCTTGGCAGTGCTAAAAAAGGAACATTTTGAAGGCTTCCAAGTCTGCAAAGGCAAGTAGAACAGCATGGAGTGGGGGGGGGGGGAATCCGCTGTGCCACGCGATTTAGATTAGCTAGAAAACAGGAAATCTGACGATTCTAGCTAATATAAATTACACGTCACAGGTGATCGTCACTCAGCTGGTCATCGGAAATACCAGTTCGCCCAAACCAGTAGCATGTTTTACTACCAGTTCAGGCGAACCAATCCAAACCGGTAGCATTTCATCCCTGGTTATGATTCAGGCACTGTCCTAAGTCACTTGTGCCTCTTGGTTGTTTGGACAAAACACAACTCCCTTTCTGTTCAGTTTGCAAGATTATGGTGCTTATGGTGATTTAGGGAAGATGTCCATTATTTTTCTTGTTGATTAAAGAATCACCTGATCAATTTCAAGGAACTTTGCTTCACAGGCAGCAAAACACAGTATAAGTATAATCTTTATTGTCATTGTACTTAAATACAATGAAATTGGTTCAAAACTACTGCATTAGCAGCTTGATTATAAACTTGAAAGAGACAGAAATAAAATGAGATAGGGGAAATATTAGAACATAAGTTTTATAGAATAAATAAAAATAATAGATAGAAAGATTAGTTTACAGATGTTTGGCATTTTTTAAAAAAATGTATGTTTAAACAATATAATGGGGATTACTTAAATGCGATAAATGTGACAGAGATTATTGTTACCATGAATTGGATGAATATGAATGATACCCAGAACCAATTTTGTTCATACGCAATAGAGAAATGTTTAGATTGAACAAGAAAGATAGAGTTGAAGATATAGATAAGGATGAGAAGTTAGGCATTTTTTGTTGGTAACAATATAGTGAGGATTACTTAAATTTGATAAATGTGATAGATATTACTAATATTGTTACTGTGAATTGGATGAATATGAATGATAACTAGAACCAGCCATGTACACACCCAAGATGGATGTTTAATAATAATAATAATAATAATAATAACAATAACAACAACAACAACAACAATAATAATAATAATAATAATAGGAACCGCTTATATCCTCTGATGTTACTTTAACAGTTCCTAGGTCCTTTGTTAGGACTCGAGCTGTTGAGCTACCAACCAGCCCCAGAGGCTGTGAATCTCACCAAAGATTAACCACGCAGTAATAATGATAATAATAATGTTAATAATAATGTTAATAATAATGTTAATAATAATG